CGGCCCCCCAGAATTTGCATTTTAACAAGATCCCCACACACACTTCTGGCTCGCTGGCTCATCAGGCTCCTGACGCTGTTTACTAACAAACCGCTAAGAGTTTACACTCAAGCTGTTGGGGCCTGATGGGCCCGGGACAAAAGGGAGCCAGCTATCCAGTCCTGCCTGGCGTGATCTCAAGCCCTCTGTTAAACTACACCCAGTGCGCGCTTAGCTCCCCCAAAGGACAGAGAACTGTGTTCGCAAACTTCTGGGGTTCCTTGTGAAGCCTGAAACGTGCGCTGACGCTGACCTGCAGACCAGCGACCAGAGTAAAGGGTGATGGCGCCCCCTCGTGGCAGCATCGACACTGCAGCCCACACGAGGCTAAATCTGAACGGGCTGTAGTCAGGGTGTGCCAGGCGGCTAGGGAGGGAAAATACTCCAAATACAGTAGATGCCTTTATCCACTGTTTTGTGATTTCAGTTACCTGTGGTCAACCACAGTCCAAAAATATCAAACAGGAAATTCCAGAAACAAACAGCTGCTTAAAATTCCATGCCCAGGATGTAACAGCCCTTTGTCCACCTTGTCTGTGCTGGCAGTTCTGAGCAACTGTTGCAGGAATCCCTTACTGCACCTACTTTATAAAGCAAGCTTTATCTTAGGTGCATACCGATATATAAAAAAATACTATATGTAGGGGGTGGTGCCATCTACGGCTCCAGGCATCCACTGGGCGTCTCCGAATCTATCTCCCACAGGCAGGGAGCGACTGCTGCACGAACCCTTCCTCATCCAGCAGGGGGAGGGGAGGCCTCCAGGAAGAGTTCCAGGCTCGGTTCTCCCTGCACTGTAACCACTGCCTCTCAGCGCTCACTGGGCACCTGCCCCACGCATCACGTGGGCTGCAATCAAGGCACAGTCCGTTCTTCAGTTGTGGGGTGTAGAGCAGGCAGGGAGAGGCCCAGGGGCTGCCCTTGCCACTGCACGGGCTCCCCATTTCCCAGTCTGACCCCTGTCCAGCCCACCTGGTCCTCATGGCAGTGCGGGAAGGGACCGATCCCTGCCGCTGGTCTCTGCTTTACCTGCTGATCCGGCTCCTCCTCGGAAATGCCTTCCAGGGACTGAATCCTGGAAGCTGAGCCACGCACAAACTCTGCCCAGAATTTGCAGCGCTGTGTTCCCCAAACCCAGCAGGCCAGTTTAGATGCACATAAAGCTAAGCCACTGGTGTGAAGCCGCCAGCACGTGCTGGGCAGGCAGCCACGTGCTCTCTCCCTCCACTTGCCCAGGACTGCTAGTCTGACCGTCCACTTGGCCCTCGGAGGGTGGGAGCCGCTAGTGGTGAAAAAGGCCCAAATACAGGTACAAGTGTTCTCTGTGTGTTGCATTTGAACCTGGCAAATCCCACCTGGGAACTGGCACTCAACACTCCGCCACACACCAAAACCAGGGTGCCGGGGCCAGCGTTAGCCTGGTACTTGCATATTGGGCAAATCTGGAAAGCACTCTGTGTGTGCCAAACAGCCTCTGGGGTCTTAGCTTCCCCGATACCCCAGCAGCCTCTGCCCCAGTTACCTTCCCAGATGTGTTGCTCGTAGCTTGGCCAGTTTTTCGCCTCCCAGACTGATGCTTATTGTGGTCACTTCATTTCTACACTTTGTGCGGCCTTTGCTCCCCACAGTAGCGTTCAGCTCAAGGATAGCAACACGCCAGGCTTGGGAGTCAGCTCCCAGGGCCGCCCTGGCCTGGACCTCTGCAGGAGGCACCAGCAAGTCCCGAACCCCTGTGGGCTCCAGATGGACGAGGGGACACATGAGGCCAGGTGCAGGCCACCACCCAACCTGCCTCCCGACTGACCCCTCATTGCTACCAGGCCGAGCTTCTTGACCGGTGCTGGGCCCAATGTGGCCTCACCTCAAGGCCCTCAAACCACAGCCTCTGACCCTGCTGGCCACCGCCACTCCCCAGGCCGGCCGCCAGCTCCGCTCCTCCCCAGGTCCCCTGCATCCACGTTCCGGAAGCGCCTTTCCAGCACTCCACGCCCTCTTCCTGACACAGCTGAACCAAGCAGCCCCCTGGGGCCCCTCTCGGAGTCTCCAGCCCACCCCGTCTTCCCACCACTGCGGCCAGCACCGCCATGACTCCTACACACCACAGGCTCCAACCGCATCTTCCACTCCCGTGCTGAGACCTTGGAGCCAGGCTTTTAACGAGTACTTCTATTTTTTAACATCAGAAAACCCCGAAAGGCTTATTACTGAAGTCTTAGAAAAACAAAGAAATCCCCACGACCCTACCCTGAAGAGGAAGGCACCTCCCCTGGAGGCATCACTCAGCTTTCTAGGCCCACACACCATCTTCCCAAACACGGAGACTGTGCACTTTGCAACTTGCTTTTCTCATGTAGAACTTTAAGGCAGTGTTGTGTGAAAACCATTTAGCTGGCCGGCGCCGCGGCTCAATAGGCTAATCCTCCGCCTTGCAGCGCCGGCACACCGGGTTCTAGTCCCGGTCGGGGTGCCGGATTCTGTCCCGGTTGCTCCTCTTCCAGGCCAGCTCTCTGCTGTGGCCCGCGAGTGCAGTGGAGGATGGCCCAAGTGCTTGGGCCCTGCACCCCATGGGAGACCAGAAGCTGATCCTGGCTTCGGATCAGCGCGGTACGCCGGCCACAGTGGCCATTGGATGGTGAACCAATGGAAAAGGAAGACCTTTCTCTCTCTCTCTCTCTCACTGTCTAACTCTGCCTGTCAAAAAAAAAGTACAGTTGAGTGCACTGACAAAAGCCGGGCCAGTAGAAAAGCCAAGGTAGCTGAGGCCTGCCTTCCGCTGCCTTCTCATCACCCTGCAAAGGATCACCACAGCCCAACATGGCGGGCGGGAGCCACGCCCCTCCTTCCCTCTTGCTCCAACCACCACAGCCACACCCCTCCTTCCCTCTTGCTCCAACCACCACAGCCCATGGGCCCCTTCCTTGGGCTCCTGCTTCACCATGGAGTCTTGTATGTCCCACGGCCTCCAACAATTCCAGGCTCAATGCCTCGGGCACCATCAAGGAGCCTTCCCAAAATATCCTTTCAGGTTGAGATTTATTAAGGGAGCAGGCCTTCAGTCTAAAGGTTAAGACACCACATCCCCATATTGGAGTGCAAAGGCTTTTTTAAATTGTTTATTTGAAAAAGTTACAGAGAGAAGGAAAGGCAGAGAGAGAGAGAGAGAGAGAGAGAGAGAGAGGTCTTCCACCCACTGGTTCACTCCCTAAATGGCTGCAATGGCTGGAGCTGTGCCAATCCAAAGCCAGGAGCTTCCTCTGGATCTCCCACACGGGTGCAAGGGACCAAGGACCTGGGCCTTCTTCTACTGCTTTCCCAGGCAGCAGAGCTGGATCGGAAGTGGAGCAGCTGGGACTCGAAACGGTGCCCATATGGGACGTCTGCACTGCAGGCGGTGGCTTTACCCGCTACCAAGGTTTTTTTTTTTTTTTTTTTTTTGGACAGGCAGAGTGGACAGTGAGAGACAAAGAGAAAGGTCTTCCCTCGCCGTTGGTTCACCCTCCAATGGCCGCCACGCTGATCCGATGGCAGGAGCCAGGTACTTATCCTGGTCCCCCATGGGGTGCAGGGCCCAAGCACTTGGGCCATCCTCCACTGCACTCCCTGGCCACAGCAGAGAGCTGGCCTGGAAGAGGGGCAACCGGGACAGAATCCGGCGCCCCAACCGGGACTAGAACCCGGTGTGCCGGCGCCGCAAGGTGGAGGATTAGCCTAGTGAGCCACGGCGCCGGCCGTGAGTTTCACTTCCAACTCCAGCTTCCCTGACGAGATTAAGTTCCAGACTCAGATGTGGCCAGGCCCAGACTCCGCTGCTGAAGGCATTTGAGGAGTGAACGAACCAATGGAAGCACTTGTAAACCGACAAAAAAAAAAAAAAAAAAAAAAAAAACTAAAATTTTTAAACTGCCAGTGCCCCACAGAACTTAGCCACTACTGCGAGACCCTCTACAGAAACATCTGCGCTTGAAAAGCAGCCCAGTGCCACCAACCCAAGCGCCTCTGCTGACTGCTCATCCACGGCTCACGCACTGTGAACTCTGAGCTGCATCCGTGCCCCTGGAGAGCCCGTACACTCTCCTAGGCAGCATCATGCAGGGACGCTGGCACCCCTACCGGTAACCCAGGGGACCCCAATATTCCCATCAAAGGATGCTCGGCTCCTCACTTCACCTTATCAAACGCCCACTTCTCTCCCTCCAACAGAGGCTGAGGGACTAAACTCACTGCAGACCTGGGGCTGGAGCAGGCCTGCTGGGTAGGCTGTGGCAGGTAAGCTGCTCCCACCAGAACAGACTCCCACCCTCCCCACCCAGGCCCCACATGTTGTGCAGCTAAGTCTCTCCCAGTGGCTTCCTGCTTCCACACCCATCACCTCCCCACATAACACCAGCAAACAGCCTATGCACACTCACACCACACATCACTCTAGGTCATGCCCCAGCACTGAACTTCAAGATTCCACAGGATCTACCCACCCAAGGGCAGGGCTTCACACTGTTCCTAGTAGAGGTGGTTGTTGTTGTTGTTGTTGTTGTTTTTTGGGGGGGTAAAATATTTATTTAAAAGGCAGAGTGGCGGGGTGAGGGGTGGGGATAGTATTCCACGTGCTGGTTCACTCCCTAAGTGGCTGCAACAGCTGGAGCTGTGCCAAGCTGAACCCAGGAGCTTCCCACATGGGTTCAAGGGGTCTCCCACATGGGTGCAAGGCCCAAGGACTTGGGCCATCTTCTACTGCTTTCCCAGGCCATAGCAGAGAGCTGGATCGGAAGTGGAGCAGCCCGAACTTGAACTGATGCCCACATAGGATGCTGGCGCTGTAGGTGGCGGCCCCACTCGCTATGCCACAGCGCCAGCCCGAGCTGAGCAGCTTTCACTGCACACACTCACACACACTCACACACATTCACACACACTCACCCTCACACCCAGCAGCCTTCATCACAAAATGAAGGAAACCACTCCTCTGAGTGTAAGACAGGTTTCTTTTATTAGTTTTTCCTAAACTTGTCTCATGTTTACTGCCATGTTCTCCTTAGTGTAAGAACGTGACCTGGAGTTTGCACAAACCAATTTGGATAACGCGATCTGGACAGATGCTCTTCTGCACACCAGTCAGTTACCACCCAGCGGCCCGCACCCCTGCAAATCCAGCTGCTCTGAAAGCCTGTCTAAACAGACAGCAAGCAGACCGTAGCATCTTATTTCTCGTCTTAAACTTCAAAGTCACCCCATCCCAACACCCAAGCCCTCCCCCACACGCGCACACAAATTCATTTAGAAGAAATGGCCATTAAGGACTGAGTCAGTAGCCTAAGAGTTGGCTTAATCCTGCAGCCAGCATGTCAAAGCAGCGCCACCCGCCTCGGCAACCAGGCCAACGGCGCTACTGAAGCCTGACAGGTGGAGTGGGCCCAGGCCCGGCCGCGGGGCTCCCACGCACGCCTGCACACCACGGCGAGAGCACTCCTGCCTTCCTCCTAGGCGGCCGTTCAGAACTTGAGGGCTTCTAACACTCAGAAACATTTCTATGTGGACAGAGACAGAAACTGTAACTATGCAAGATACAATCTTATTTCTAACAGAGGCCAAAATCAACAGAGACATGCTCTGTTATATGGAATAGCCGTTATTACAAAGATCCAAAGCAAAACCAACACAGCTTGTGACAAGTCTGTAAGGCAGGTACCAGCTCTGGCCTTTAACTCAGGCTTCCCTGGAGTTTCCAAAACGCCTCATTCTACGAATACTGCCCCCAAGGGCAGGCAGACTGCTGGGGTGCACGGACTGGCTGCAGACGGACGTGTTCTACCGCGCGGGCAGCACACTGCTTTAACACTAACTTCAGACTCATCCGGTACAATGCAGTGCAGATGTCTGCATGATCTGTTAGCTGCTTACGAACACTTAACAAGTTAAGCGATTGTTGAGTGAGCTGAAAACATATTCAACTCTCGTCCTAGGAGTTCAAGATGTGCCTCAGATACACACAGAACCTCTCCCACCTGAACCAACAGGCCACGATGAGAAACAATCAACCGCATGGCACTGTGCTGTGCCGACAGCACGCACACCTACACGTGCCGAACCTTAAAGGAGGGCCCCTTGCCGCTGGGGCACAGGGGCACAGTGAACACTCAGGCAGAGGCTCCAGGTCTCGGAGCATCAGTCAACCAACTGCTCCGGGGGAGGGGGTCGACTTTCCCAAGAGCACCACAAGGCATTGCGAATGGGAGCTCTTGCTTTGGGTGGGGGTGGGGGGGTGGGAGTGGGAGCGGGGTTGGAGGTGAGCTGTGACGGTGAGAGCACACCTCTGCCGCTCTGCTCCAGCCCTCAGAGGCAGGGGGAGACCCCACCCCCACCCCCACCCAGGCGGGGAGCCTTTGTGGCGGCCTCCACAACTACTCTGAAAGCACAATCCGGCTCTGCAGGCGGGCTGTCACGACAGGCTGCTCAACAGCTAGGCACAGCCTCCGCCGCAGCTCCACTTCCCGAATTCGCGCCCGAGAAGCAGGATTCAACACAGAATGAATAAAGCGTAAGCGCAGGTAGACTCACTGGGCTTCTAAATATGAAGAAGATACAATGCACTCACGGTCTGTATCTAACTATTTAGAAGTCAACTGCTCCATACATTACCTCTACCCCCTCCCCCGGAATCCCCTAAGAACTAAGAAATCTCCAGTATTCACTTGCTCTAGTTGATGTTCAGAACAAAGTTGACAACTTAAAGCTTTATAACAGTCTGTTTTAATATAAACAAGTGTTGCAATCAATCAATGTCCATCTCGGGAAGCTTCTTGTCTGAATCGGAAGGCACGGCTCCGTCTGTGCCCGGCTCAGCAGCCTGAGGGCCGGGGTTGTCTCCTTGTCCATCCACTGGTCCATTCTGCTCCGCATTTTTTTGTTCCTCTTTCGGAGGTTCCACTTTGGGTTTAGGCTTTGAAATTATAGGGCTACAGAAACTCGTCAGCTCCTACAAATGGTAAGAGAAAATTGTAGTTTCTTAAAAATTAACAAATGTTAAACAGTATGCTAAGTCCAGCTTCAGCATCTCCCACCCAACCCCAAACCAGAAGCTATGTTCCAACACTGAAGCTCCTCCTAAACGTCACTTGGAAACTACTGATGCTAAGAAGGAAAGACCAGGACATATTTCCCGTCCTAATCACCTTGATTTTAGCTTCGATCTCTCTGGCCTTCACAACCGGGTCCAGGGTCAGGCTCTGCTTGTTCTGCAGGTTCAGCTTGTTATTCATCCACTCCACGGCCTCGTTGGTGCTCTTCTCCACCTTCCCCATGTCGGCAGCGTCCAGGTGCTCATACTGGTCCTCCTGCAGCACGAGACAGCGTCCAGGGAGAGCCAACCCCCTCAGCACCAACTGTCACTGTCCCCCAGGACACGGGGCACACTCACCTTTACGTTATGCAGATTAACTACACGCTCAAGAGAGAAAACCACCCCAACTCAGAAAACACCCAGAAAAATCTGAAAACTAAGACTACATAATGGGGCATTTAAAGTTTCAAAAGTATAAACAAGTGCATGTTTTATATGAACTCTTATGAAGACAATTTCACAATGAAAAACACCTACACCTCATTAGATATGAAAGCTAAAGTGCAGGGACGCTAGATCCGAGCAAAAACAGTAATGACAACATTTCTAAGAGGAGGACTTTTAAGATTAAAAAGTTTCATGAAAAATCAAGTTTTCTTTATCACTCTCAGTTTCTTGGGTGACAATGTGTCAAGAACCTGGAGTCCAGCACACAGTGGAGTGGTTAAAACCCAAGCTTTGGAGTGGACTTAAGGCTGAATCACAGCTCTCCCACGTTAGCAACTTTGTTGCACGAAGAAGGTGAAGCTTAAAGTGCTGAGAAGTTACCTATCAGTGCTGACAATCCCACCTACTTCATATGCGATGTGTGGAGTCCATGAAACCACACCTATCTGGACTACTTCTCCCACAATGCTCAAAAACGAGTTTACTCTCTCAGAGTCCTACATCTGTGTAACAACCGAATCACATGCCTAAAATGTTCTAAGACTAGGACAGAGCATGTTAGGATGAACACAGATGGCATTTCCTAGCAAGGGAAGAAGACTGAGCAATACTGCTCACTTCCAGACTGTCTGCTGAAGATGAACAGCAGATTGTATGGCTCTTCGTAAGTCTACAAAACTGCTACATAAATCCCTCAAAATTCAACTCTACCAACGGGAGGAAAATAAAAAAACAGATACCTTGTTTTTGAAAGAGCTGATTACTTTCATATACTGTTGAATCTGTTTCCCTAGTTCTTCAAATAATTTTGGTCTTTCTTCAGATTCCTGGAACCGTATCTTAATAGGTTGACCTAGATTCTTAACAGAAGAGAAAACGGAAATTCTTCATGCGTCTTACACTATCAGAGGCACAGTGTCTCTACTAAGGCTGAGCATGGATTACGGCACATCCCCTTTCCATGTGCTGTATGTACAAAGCCAAGCATGTTTCTCCAGCCCATGATTCATGTGGAACCATTTCAGTTTGTCACCTAAGCCTTAACCCCCAACACGCAGTGGGGAAAAACCATAAACTAGGTGCCTACTAACAGATCACCACCAAACACCAAGTATACCGGCCAAAATGATATTTTTTAATATTTCACTTAAAAACAATTTAAATTCTGAATGTGATGAAGCTTCTAGAGGTACCCATCAATCAACCAGATAATGTTGGATACCACCATGGACATGAAAACAGCACTGCTCAGAGAATACCTGTTCTGCCTAACTGAGCCAGGTTCTTCAATGGGAAAACTATGGACACAGATCACAGATTGAAGAGACTGACTGACAAAAATGTGTGGATCTTATCTGGGCCCAGAGTCAATCAACTAAGAAAAATAATCACCTGTGAAACAAACAGCTGAAAACTGTACACTATGGGGACAGCAGGCGTGCCCTCATGTGATGTGGTACGCATGGGGTTCTCTCTTCCTGGAAATGCGCACTGTGAACATGAGGGACCTGCTTCTACCGACTGGGACAGGAAGGACAGAAGTCAAACACCAGACGACAGCTGAAGCCATCAGTCCCTCTACTTGCACGGATGATGTCTCACACAGTGCGCTGGACCTCGGGGGGATGCCCAGGAGTGATGTGAACCCGCACGCTGTCCCAGAGCAATCCCACCTAAGCAGGTGGTCAGAGAGGCCTTGGTGCACAGGCACCAAGGAACCCAGAGTGAATCTACAGGACTGTGTGACAGCTTCACCCTGTGCATTTGTATCTGCTTCTAAACACAGGTCCCACCTTGACAGGACTCTATTTTTAACTCTACGTTTAACCACCATATTCTTTAACTACAAAAGCAGGTGCTCTGTTTTTACTGAGGATCCAAACTACACACACAGTACCTGCTGTCGCTCCCCCTCTTCGTGGAGGAACGACACTAAGCCCTGCCTAGGCTTCATATCCGAGTCACGGCACCATTATGTCGCTCCCCCTCTTCGTGGAGGAACGACACAGGACCCTGCACTGTTCTTTCGTCTGCTCGGCCCTTCCCGGGTTTGCTGCTGGTTCTTCCCGGGTTGGCTACCGTCCCTTCCACCTCCGTGGAAGGGCGGTTCCCCCTGGCCACTTTCCCCACTTCCGCAGGGGAGCGGCACACCGCCGGCCGGCTCTTCTCGGGGGCTGCACAGGTGTTCCCCTTAGATGTTCCTGGTGCATGCCGTCTCTCTCCTCCTATATAGTCCTCTTCCACCAATCCCAACTCGGCTGCCCACACGCCGAGCACGCTGCTCTCCTCCAATCAGGAGCAAGTCCTACAGTTTATTGGCTGAACTGGAGGCAGCTGTGTAGAAGCTGTTTTCTCCTCTCCCAGCGCCATATTGTGGGAGAGCAGATGCATAGAATAAGTCTTAATTCCAGTAACTTAGTCTAGTCCGAGTTGCTCCCCACACCTGCATCTTGCTGCCAGTCTTTCTAGTCCTTGATATCACAAACACTGCAAGTCTAAATTTTCACAATTCTTTTTTTATTTATTTTTTTTACTGATATTGAGAATAATAACAAGCTTTTCAAGTCATCAAGGGTATCTAAGTTTTCAAACACCATTCTTAACACGAGACTTCTTTCCTATTTCAAGGTACTCTCTTCGGAAGCTCTAACCGCAGTTACAGTGGTCACACAGCACCCTCTCCACAAAGGTCACTTACTTTTAATTCAGCCAGTTTATCAACATAGACTTGCTTTGGCTGGTCTTCACCATCCTCATACAACCAATTTTCAGTATCTTCTAGTTTCAAGGTAAAACTGTTACGATCCTAAATAAAGAATTGTAATCAGGTCATTAAAAGATGGGTGACAAGACCAGTGTAGTCACAGGTACAGTGATGTACCTCAGATTTGACCTAAAATAGTGGCGGGGGGGGATGGAGGGGAGGACACAGCAGACAGACCAGCAGATGTCTCCTGGTATGGTAGGCACAGGGGATTATACTGTTTTTCTCTCTGCTGTAGGGGACTTTACATATGCCTGAAAATTTCATCAAAAATTGCACTGAGGAGGCCACCGCTGTGTCGTAGCTGATTAAAGCCCTAGCCTACAGCACTGGCATCCCATATGGGCATCAGTTCGAGTCCCAGCTGCTCCATACTTCCAAATCCACCTCCCCGCTAATGCGCCTGGGAAAGGAGGGGAGGATGTCTCAAATCTTTGAGCCCCTGCACCCATGTGGGAGACATGAAGCTCCTGGCTCTTGGCTTCAGATAAGCTCAGCTCCAGCTGTTGCAGCCATTTGGGGAGTGAACCAGCAGATGGAAGACCTCTCTCTTTGTCTCTCTGTCTCTACGTCTCTCTCTGTAACTCTTTCAAACAAAATAAATCTTTAAAAAAAAAAAAAAAAAAAAAAACCTGCACTGAAGCCTCCACCTGTGGCGCTGGCATCCCATATGGGTGCTGGCTGAGTCCCAGCTACTCCTCCTCCAGTCCAGCTCCCTGCTAACACACCCCAATAAGCAGTGACAGCCAGCCCATGTGGGAGACCTAAAAGAGGCCCCTTGCTTTGGATCACTGCAGCCCTCGCAGTTGAAGCCATCTGAGGACTGAATCAGCAGACAGAAGATCTAACCCTGTCTTTCAAATACATAAGTAAATCTTAAAAAAAAAAATAACCTGCACTTATATGCAATTGTGATAAACATAAAAAAAAGATGAGTGGACTTGAAGAAAAACTCCAGGTAAATAACAGCATTCAAATGTGTCAAAAGCTAGGACATGAAATTGATGCAGACACTGACTAGCCTCTGGCCAGCACACACCACACAAGGAATTCAAGATAAAATTACACACAGGCTGAGTGTCCCTTATCCAAAATGCCTGGGACCAGAAGTTTCAGATTCTGAAGCTTTTCGGATTTTGAAATATCTGCATGTACACCGCCAGTTAAACGTCCCCAAATGTAGAAATCCAAAATGCGCCCCCAATCTGCAACCTTCGAGCATCGTTGTCAAGGGGCTCCAGGTTTCAGATTCCAGGGTTAGGGATTCGGCCTGTACCCCGTGCCCCTCCCCTCTGGGAAAGCTGACCCTGCGACTCTACGCAGACGCGCACTCCCCTTCTAGCACCTGCACCGACGCGCCAGGAAGACACACGGAAGCAAGGCCCTCGGGGACACTTACATCTTCACTCACAAACTTCTCATATTCACCACTGAGTTTGTCCCTCATTTCATAGACGTACTCTTCCACGGCATTCTTGGCATCATTCCTCTCCTTCTCCAGCTTATCCTGCATGATCATCTTGCCCTGAGAGCAGAACAAGGATAACGATGATGTCCTCTTAAATACTAGTAACTCTCAAGCAGAGAATCTCTCTTTCAGGGTCTCCTTCAGTTCTCCAAGTTACTCAACCAAGGGGACCTGATGACTGTCCTCAGCCAATTCTGAAGCTCAACAAATTAATTTTATGGGCAGGCTCAGATACTAAAGCAAAAATAAGAAAAACAGTTTAGCACAGGTACATGAAGAGACTGTTTTTCTCTCTGCTGTAGGGGACTTTACATATGCCTGAAAATTTCATCAAATACACTGTGCTCTATTATTATTAAGGAATACCAAGAAACATCGTTTATTCATACTATGTAGACGTAAATGATCCTGCAGAGCCAAACTACTCTAAGGTCCAGGGTCCCCGACCTCGCAGCGTGCACTGTAACAAAATTATCTTTTCATACCATGACTGGCAACAGGCAAACACCCCAGTAAGCAAGCATTGCCATTCATGCTGTGATTTCTCCTACCGATCGACTTCTGTGACGTAACACCCATCTCCAGCAAGCGGACACACACACTAAAAGGAACACCAGCTCCCCCGAACGAGGGTGCTCACGAGAGAGCTTTTACCATGCCAGCCATCCTAGCAGCACCACCCACGAGAACTCAGACTGTGGGCACTATTACTTGAACTTCACCTCAGCAGCACCCACAAACCTGAACACTTTCTCAAAGTCTAAACAACCAAAAACGCGTAAAGGTCAACAGACACTGTCTGAACCTGGGGGTCACATCAGTTAGCTCACAGAAGAGACTTTCAATAGCAACCTCGTTTTCAATGTACAGGTTGAGCATCTCTCTGTCTATCTGCCACAACAGCTGGTTCTCGATAGGCAGGTCCACGGTACTCGTCTTCACTTTCGCCTTCTTGGCTTGAGGTGGTTGGTCCATCTTTTTGTCTTTTGATCCAGCTTGAGAAGTCTGAAGAGAAGTCATTAAAAACACATACATTCAGAGGTCTGAAGTCAGACAAACAGAGTAAATTCATCAGACTTAAGGAAAACAAGTAATTTCCTCTTACATACTAATCTATCAAGACAGAGAATCTTTCTTCCCTAATTCCTTTCCGTTCTCAAAGTTATCCAACCAAGGTGAATCTGAAGACTGTCCTCAGCTAATTCTGAAGTTCAACAAACTGATTTTGTGGACAGGCCCACACCACACACATACAGAGACCTTCTTAAATTTCAAAACGGTCACACCTCAAAAGCTACTTTGCGTTACTAGTTTGTTCTTTGACAGTCTAAATAACTTAGGGCTATCATAGTACCTGGAAAATAAAGGAATATGTATACTTGAGGTATATCTCAAGAATTCAAATTCAGAGATGGACACAGATGGTGGTTGACAAGAGACAAAGGGAAACAGGGAATGGAGTCTGATTAGTGGGTATGGCTTCAACTTCACAAAATCAAACAGCTCTGAACATCAGCTGCACCACAAGATGTATTTACTTAGTATTACTGTATACTTACAATCATGACAGCAATTTTTATGTTAGGTGCATTTTACCACAATTTAAAATAAATTAAAAGATACACACACACACACACATAAGTAACAACCCCACAATCAACATATAATCACTACTTAAAATTTTCCTTCTGCTTTTACCTAAAGATACAGACATGCATAGAAACTGACGGAGAGAAGGTTACAAACAGAGTACAGATAAATCAGTAATGTATTCTCAATGTGAATTCTAGGATGTCTGTATTTACTTACACTCTCACAAAGAGTGAGAATCCACTGCCTTGCACATTGTCCACGAACAGGAATTCAATTAACTTCATCACACTGTTTTTGGATCAACCCCGTTTCTCTCACACTTACAAACCATACTTACTACCTCTTCAAATTAATTACCCAGTCATATTTTACCCATTGTTTTCTTAGGATTTTAGAGACTTCTTTCCATAAACGCTTGATTCGTCTAGATTTTTTCTTATTTTTTATTACTTGTTCATACAAATACATATCATCAAATGTAACTAATTTCTTCTTAGTGATTACTTTTATTGCTTTTGCTCTTTCAAACTTTTCCCATCCACAGATTAGAAAGGCATTCAAGGGCTGGCACTGTGGCGCAGCAGGTTAAAACCCTGGCCTGAAGTGCCGGCATCCCATATGGGCACTATTTCGAGACCTGGCTGCTCCACTTTCGATCCAGCTCTGCTATGGCCTGGGAAAGCAGTGAATAATGTTCCAAGTCCTTGGGCCCCTGCACCTGCATGGGAGACTCGGAAGAAGCTCCTGGCTCCTGGCTTTGGATCAGCTCAGCTCTGGCCGTTGTAGGTCATTTGAGGAGTGAACCACAGGATGGAGGACCTCCCTCTCTCTCTTTCTCTCTGCCTCTCCTCTAACTCTGACTTTCAAATAAATAAATAAATCTTTAAAAAAAAAAAAAAACCTGGCCTGAAGTGCCGGCATCCCATATGGGTGCCACTTCTAGTCCTGGCTGCTCCTCTTCCAATCCAGCTCTCTGCTATGGCCTGGGAAAGCAGTAGAGGATGGCCCAACTCCTTGGGCCCCTGCACCCACATGGGAGACCTGGAGGAAGCTCCTGACTCCTGGCTTCAGATCGGCTCAGCTCCAGCTGTTGCGGCCATCTGGGGAGTGAACCAGCGGATGGAAGACCACTCTCTCTGTCTCTACCTCTCTCCGTAATTCTTTCAAATAAATAAAATAAATCTTTAAAACAGAAAGAAAGAAAAGAAAAGCATTCAAAGGGCCAGTGTTCTGGCATAGCAGGCAGAGCTACTACCTGTGACGCTGGCAACCCATGTAGGTACCAGTCCTGGCTGCTCCACTTCCAATCCAGTTCCCTGCTAATGTGCCTGGAAGGCAGTGGAAGACGGCAAAAGTGCTTGGGCCCCTGCTACCACGTGGGAGACCCAGATGAAGTTCCTGGCTCCTGGCTCCTGGCTTCAGCCTGGCTCAGGGCCACGGCCAGCCACTGCGATCATCTAGGGAGCAACCAGTGGATGGAAGATCCCTGTCTCTGCCCCTCTCTCTCTTTCAAATAAATAAATCATTTTTTAAAAATTTCACTTCAAGCTTTCGGCTTTTGTAACTTCTAACTATTAAGTCTTTTGGAATTCAGTTCCCTCTAAGATATGATGCAAGCCTATAATGTCATTTCCCTACTTCCCATCCAAATAACTCAGCTACTGAAATTTATGTGTCATTTGTATTTCATTTCCCTTAAAAACAATACTGTGAAAAGAACTATGGCTCCTGAACCATGTATGCCATGGAAGCCCAGGCAACAACCCCTGAGAAACTTCCCACGGCACACTCCTCCCTCACCACTGTCAACACACACAGGACAACAACTGCTACTCCTGCTGCTGCTCCCATCCTGCCCAACCACACACAGGGTCTCCCAGCTTGGAAAACACCTCAGCCACCTGAACCATCTAGGAGTATCATTTCCTCTGTCTTTTTTATTCTTCACTATTGCTTATGTATCTAAAGGAATTTAAGTGATATGAAAATGGCTGACAGACTTAAGCCACCTTAAGGCTCAAACTTTCTTTAAAAATCACAATTAGAAATTCTAAAGAGTCCAGAGGGTAAGACTGCACATCACAATTTCATAACTTGAAAGGAAAGGTGTTCTTCTCAATGTTAAGAGCCAATTAAACATGAAAACTTGAAATTAAAGAGTAAGTTGTTGGGGCCAGTACAGAGGCACAGCGGTTTAAGCTGTGGGCTGTGGTGCCAGCATCCCATATCACAGCCAGTTCGAGTACTTGGTACTCCACTTCCCATCCAGCTCCCTGATAATGTGCCTGGTAAAGCAGTGGAGGATGGCCCAAGTACTTGGGCCCCTACACTCACATAGGCTACCTGCAAGAAGCTCTTGGCTCCTGGTTTTGGTTTGGCCCAGCCCCAGCCATTGTGGCCATCTGGGGAGTGAACCAGGAGATGGAAGAGATCTCTCTTTCTCTTGAAGATTCCCGCCACCCACTTCTGTGTAACTCCACCTTTCAAATAAATAAATCTTAAAAAAAAAAAAAATATTCAAACATGTTACATATCCATTCTGAAATACACTACTCACAATGTATTTAAACACATTATTTAAAATAATGTTTCACTAAAAAGACATGGGTCACAAAGTTGAAAAATGAGCACAAAAGTTTTAAGTCTCGTTATTTTACCAGTAAAGAATAAATCCTAAATACACTGATCACTACTAATAGCCATTCAGAAAGAAATCAGCATGAACCGATCAAAGGCCTAGTTAAACTCGGGTTTGGAAGGCAGTGTAAAGCACTTTCCAAACGTACTATAAAATCTGCCAAAAATTTTTCCAAAAAATCAAGAATCCCTAATTCAAAAACACAGCCCCCCAGCCAGCACCACACTGAACCCCCACCTACCACGCCGCGTACCTCCATTTCTTCAGACTCTGCCTTATTTTCTGCTGGTGTCTGCTGCTGCTGCTCCTCAACATGTGGTTCCTCCTGGTCCACTTGCATCTTCTGGAAAACAGGTCAAAGTAAATCCCGAAACCAGGAAACACTACTGAAAGGCTAAGCAGACTTCACAGCACACGGAGAGCTACAGGGCGTGGAACTCCCGCCGAATCACTCCGTATCAGGAGACCTAGCCGCTGTCTGGAACACGGGAGTTTCCCTCTGTGCCCTGACCGGTCAGTCTGTACAGTGGGATTGTGGAACTGTATTCATAGTATACAGGTGACATCATTCAACACCTTCTAGCAAACACAACTACCAGGGCAAGTGTGAGTTTCTCCAAGCTTCCTCGTGATTGGATGTCTTACGTGTTTTCAAGCAGCTGCTTTTCAACCTCAACAATGGGTCAGGGAGGTGAACACACGGAGGCCTCTGGACAGCACAAAGCCTGACACTGATAATGAGGCGTGTGGAGAGCCTCGGCTCCTGCAACACACTACAACGACCTGGGAAGCTTTCACCACCGCTGACTCCAGCGCCTGGGCCCCAGCTCGAACCATCGCAACAGAATCTCAGCACTAAGACCCAAACACTGGTAGCGCCCAAAGCACCGCCGCTGAAGCTCAGTGACAACAGCACCCAGGGCCCATTCCAACACAGAGTGTACAACCTACTCCACTTGTGAAAACAAACAACCGAGACTCGGGGCATTCTCCTCCAGAACGACAAAGAATCAAGTTAACTCAAGCGAAGGCAGCAGCCAACCAAGTTCCATTTCTACACGAATTCTGTGTAAAACTCTTCTGTTCATTTACTGACATGGGGGAAGGGAGCCACACACCAACCCACCCTCACAGGTCTGTCACAACGTACCCCCCTCGTCACCAGTCCACTTGCTAGGATTTCTAGAGAGGTCACCCGTGGCCATTACCACTCAGCCCCGAACACCCAGATTACCTCCTCCTCCTTTGCATTCTGATCCGTTTCCATCGGCTCTTCATTCTCCTCAGACTTGTGAACTTCCACTAGAGAGGCACTGGACACACTGAAAATGCCATGGACATTTACTCGAACCTTCACTTTCACTTTCGAACTGGAGCCATCAGATTGAGGAGTGACTTTCTGAACTGAAAACTGGGCTAGGGACATGAGAGACGAGAGAGAAGAACACACAACCTAAGAGCATGACTTCAAACATGAACACATGGCCACAGGGCCAGGTGATGTCCATAACTAACACAACACTTCAAATAAGCAAACACGCACAGAACCTCACCACATCATCACATTTCTTCTTTCTCTTTCACATGCAGCCAAATTCTTAATATTCTGTCCCAACTAAGGACTAAAGTATTCCTAATTTATTCCTTTGTTCCAGTCCCTTGTTTCATTTTTATGTTACTAACAGTTAAATTCCTGAGACACGGAGCCGGCGCTGTGGCGCAGTGTGGTGCCGGCATCCCATATGGGCGCCGGTTCGAATCCCAGCTGCTTCACTGTCAATCCAGCTCTCTGCTGTGGCCTGGGAAAGCAGCAGAAGATGGCCCAAGTCCTTGGGCCCCTGCACCCATGTGGGAGACCTGGAAGAAGCTCCTGGTTCTTGGCTTCGGTCAGGCTCAGCTCCAGCTATTGCGGCCATTTGAGGAGTGAACCAGCAGGTTGGAAGACCTCCCTCTGTGTCTACCTCTCTCTAACTCTGCACTTCAAATAAGTAAAATAAATATTAAAAAAAAAAATTCCTAAGGCACAGATTTGTCGTATTCTCTGCTACAAACACTACTATCATTTATCAAGAGACTGCCTTTTCTAGTAAATTGTTCCTGTCACTAGGGTTGCTTTTTATTTATTTTATTCTCACAATTCTGCAAAGTATCATCATCCTAATTCCTGTATTAGAAATGAGAGAAAAGACTGGGTAACTTTCCATAGCTTCTAAATGTGATTCAGCATATTTAAAAAAAAAAAAAACAAAAAAACTTTATTTGAAAGTCAGAGTCGCAGATAAAGAGCAACAGACAGAGATCAGTCTTCCATCCACTGGCTCACTCGAAGGTGGCCACAACGCTCAGGACTGGGCCAGGCCCAAGTTAGGACTCAGAAGTTCTCCCACATGGGTAGCAGGGGCCTACACACTTGGGTCATTCCCCTATCCCCTTCCCAGGCCATTAGCAGGGAGCTGGATCAGAAGTGGAGCAGCCGGTACTTGAACTGGTAACCACATGGGAAGCCAGCATCATAGGCAGCAGCCATGCCAGCCCAGCATATTCTTAGGACTTTACCCATGTATTCTAAGTCTTGATATTGTAATTTTTCTCTCAGAAAATTTTCAGACTGCACTATCCCCCCAGAGTCTAATAAAGACTCTAAGCCAAGACGTTTCCAAAACCTAGTGTGCATTAATACTGTCTCACGAATGACGCTCTGTGTCTATCTTGTTACAGCACCTGAGCATCAGAACTAAACGCCTCTAACTCCTTACAGTACCCAGCATCACCTTACACAAAGGCCTGAACTCCAGCATGCATCACCCGAAAAACACTGCCCAGAGAACTGGGCCAAGGAAATAATAAGCTGGTTCTGGGCCTGACAACAAGCTCGAAGATTTTGTTCTGTGTCTCAAGTATCCATATTTCAGAATACTGCACTTGTTCTTTCTGCCACTTTTATTCTTCAAGTTGATGTTAGCCTCCGGTTTCATTTTTAAATGCCCCACTCCTTACTCACCTATCGCAGGATCTGGGTAGGGCAGCTCCTGAGGAGAGCTGTAATAGGCCTCGAGAGTGAAAGGCTCCTTTCTATAAAAAGTGAGGACTTTCGAGAAAGGAGCAGCATGATTTTTTGGAAAGACTTCACAGTCACTGCATGGTAGAAAAATACAAAAACACAAAATCAGGGTATTCCCCTTTCTCTCTCTTCTGTACAGCATTATTTCTAGATGCTAAGAGTTCCTAAGAACTGTCTTTATAGTCATTAAAAAAGGAATGCATTCAGTCAGCACACAAGAGGTGCCCCTGACGGCATCAGGATCAAAGGTACGAATAAATGAGAACACATATTGCCTTACATGCTGCAACAAAATGTTACAGCTTTATCTAAAGAGGAACCAAGGACACTGTGTTATTTAGGCTTAACAATAAATTACCTTCAAGTCTAAAAATGATCAATGAACACATTACCTTGACCCCTCTTCAGCTGGAGAATTCCATCTCAGTGAGATGGGGTACGGTACTACGTCAGTGATGGCAATCTCTTTGACTTTGAAAGCAGGCGACAAGATGGCACACTAAAACAGTAATTTTTAAAAATTCTACTTGACAAGTACAGACAATATAAAGTAACCACAAATACTGATAAACACTGATCCACAAATACTGATTTCAACAAGGATCATCAATGGTTTTCTTTATAAACATTTACTTCAATAATTTAATGCTGTCCAAACAAGCATTTCATAAACTTTTATCACTTGTCAAATTACCTATATAATCTAGTATCTCTTATCATGTTTCCATTAACCTTCAGCCCTTAGCTGACTGATGTACAACGCTACTTCATGTATGCCAAATTCCGGCATTTAAAGCCTAAAGATAGCTATGTTCTAGTGAATTAATTAAAAGAGTATGATTACTTTTATTAACATTATCTCTGCTACCCTTTTTTTTTTTTAAAGTTTCAGAATCTTACACCTTGAAATTACCTTGTGCTAACCTCGGGGTATCAGTGAGACACATGAACCACTGCCTTTTTTTTTTTTTTGGTTGCAATGAGCTAGGAAGAAAGACGACTCACCTGCAATGCACAGCCTCGAGTGACCGCTTCATCAGCATTTAGCGTGGTACTAAGTTCTTTACCAAAAAACTTACTGATCTTCTCTTTCACTGCAGGGATTCGTGTAGCACCGCCAACTATCTCCACTGCGTAAATATCTTCTTTCTTTAACTCTGTTGGAAAACAATTACACATCTGTTGTTAAAGAACCTTGAAATTGGTATTTTACTTTAATTAGGAAATAAAAGAGTAGTATCATAAGAAGCTGCTCAGACATGGAACTTGTCCACAACACACACACACTCACATGAACACACTCACACAAGCATAAGCATATGGAAACAAGCCACTGTTCTCATCCTCAAAATAATGGGGAGAGGGTGGCCCAACAACCATAGGATTTGGGAGGAGCAGGCCAGCAATATTCAACATCCTGCACTGTCTGTACAGTCTTGGAACACCTGATGGAGTTCCGCAGAAAGAGCTGTTCACACCAACAGACCAAACATCTGAGAAGGCCAACCCGAGGGAAATAAGAGGGCCTTGAAATACTAGACTGTCCCTGAAATGGCGTGCCTCAGAGGAAGGAAAAGAGGGATTCTGAATCCCCCTAGCCATTCCATCACCACATCCAGAGCATAAGCACAGTCCAGATTAAAATACAGTCTCCACAAGAGGATGGGGAGCAAAGAAGGTACACCCCAAACTCTGCTGCTACCCACAGCATGTCTCTGCTACCACCGGTTTCCTGATCACAGTTATCTAGCACACACTGACAACTTCCTGAGTAGGCTATTTAAAGATCTGGGCTGTCCCAGTGTGGAAAGAACATGCCCACCTCCCATCACCATTCTGATTTAAGAGCTAAGCCTGTGCCAAACTGGCAGAACAGCTCAACACTCTAAAAGACTTAGCAACCAACAAAACAGTGAGCTCTAAGGAAATGTTTTGTTAACAAAGGCTTTAGGAAAATTAGTAATAATATATTACTAAATCAAACTACCACACTTCAGCCTAAGACAAAATTCACGTGTTCTATTACGTCAGTACATGCTGTACTTTTCATGCAGCTAAGGATGGATGCACTGACAGAAAGGCTTAAGACTACTCTGTCAGCGCAGCAAAGACAACTTTTACCACCATGGAATCATTAAGCAGCTTGCATCCATCTCTGAGTGAAAACTGGGTTTCTGAGAGAAACTGACTCAATCTCCCTGACATTTAGTAACAAACTAAATGGGGTGGGGTGGGGGAGGGGTCCTCCAAAGGAAGGGAGAGACAGAAGCAGCCTAACTCAGCACTTGAGTAGATCCCACAGAACTGCCCTAACTGCTTGGGGGAAAAAAGATCGTCACATTTTCCAAAGAACTGATACGCACACAATTCAATTGCAAAAATACTTACTGGCTTGTTCCAAAACACTACGAAGTGGTGGTTCCACTCTAGCTAAGAGATCATCACACATCTCTAGAAATTTGCTTCTATTAAAAAAAAGAAAGAAAGAAACAGGTTAAATCACACCCCACTTTTATGTGGAATTGATGGCTACAATTAAAAAACAAATATTAAGAAGTGTTGAAAGGATACAGAGAACATCACTGGGTAATGTACAACGAGACCGACAGATCCACTTTGGAGAAGAGTTTAGCAATCTCTCAAAATGTTCCAGAGTTACCCGTGTGCTCCAATTCCAGAGTAGGTATATATCCAAAGAAATAAACAGCTCACAATGTTCACAGAAAAATGTGTCCATGAATGTTCACAAGCAGCAGCTTTGTTCTAACAGTCACCAAGTGCAAACAACCCAAAAGCAGTAAAAATGAAGGCTACAATCAAGAAAGTGACACATGTTACAACACAGAAGAACCCAGAAAAGATCATGCAAGGGTCAAAGAAGCCAGTCAAGAAAGAATACACGAAATGTTCACAACAGGTAAACCTAGAGACAGAAAGACCAGCAGCTGCCTAGGGCTAGGAGTAGGAAGGCAAACACGGGGAGAAAGAAGAGCTAATGGGTACATGGTTTCTTTTTTCTTTTTTAATAGGTCAATGTTAGCCTCACTGGGATATAAACATAAAGAAAATTCCCATGTGTGCTGCCCCTTACACCCAGCCCAGTTCTCCCTAGTAAAGTCCTGAGCACAGGTGGGCTAAGCCACTAGCAGCATTGGCATTCCATACTGCAGGCCTGTTCGAGCCCCAGTTGCTCTGTTTCCAAATTGGGCTCCCTGATAACGCTCCTGGGAAGACCATGGAAGATGGCCCAAGTGCCTGACTGGGCTCCCACCACACATGTGGAAAGCCAGGGTGGAGTCCTGGCTCCTGGCTTTGGCCTGGCCCTAACCTGGCTGTTGTGGCTATTTGGGGAGTGAACTAGCAAATGAAATGTCTCTATGTCTCTCTCCTCTTTGTTCTGCCTTCTCTGTCACTCTGGTTTTCATATAAACACATAATTTTTAATATTTATTTTATTCAAAAGGCAGAGTTAGAAAGAGGCAGAAGCAGAGAGAGAGAGAGAGAGAGAGATCTTTCCTCCTCTGCTTCACTCCCCAAATGGCCGCAATGCCTGGAGGTAGGCCGATCCGGAACCACGAGCCAGGAGATTCTTCCTGGTCTACCACATGGGTGCAAGGGCCCAGGAACCGGGGCCATCACCCACTGCCTTCCCAGGCCATCAGCAGGGAACTAGAAAGGAAGTGGAGCAGCCAGGAACTTCACCTGTGATGCTACAGCACCAAACTCAACACACACGTAAATGTTCAAACAAATAAATGTTTAGTGTGGTACATGTTACAAATTAATGAACCAATATGGGTAAAGTTTCTAAGGGTTTTGACAAATTCATAAGGATCCACCATATCAGTATCCAACAGGGTAGTTTCACTGCCCTAAAACTCCCTTGTTCCAGCCATTCATCCCTACCTCTCTATAAACCCTTGGCAACCTCTGGTCCTTTTTCCATTTCCAAAGTTTTGCCTGTCCAGAATATTATAGCTACAATCACACGGTATGTGCACATTTCACAGTCTTCTTTCACTAAGCAACATTGATTTAGAGGTCTACTTTACCTTTTAAAAAAAAAAAAAAGATTTTTAAAATTTATTTGAAAGGCCAAGTTGGGGGTCAGGAAGTAGGCGGCAAAGAACTTCCATGCACTGGTTCACTACCCAAACGGTCCCAACTTGAACCAGGTCCCAACTTGAATACAGGATGGCGGCATTGCAGGCAGCAGCTTAACTTGCTATGCCACAAAACTTGCTCCCTATCTCTTACCTTTGAAAAACTTGATAGTTCATTGAGTACTTTAATATGGGGTAAGGAAAATGTTGTAATGGTTACACAGTTTTGTGACTATACTAAAAATCACTGGATTATATTCGTCAAAAGAACTAGGGGAAGGGGGTGCCCAGCACCGTGGCGTAGTAGATAAAGCCGCTGCCTGCTGTGCCGGCAACCCATACAGGTGACGGTTACAGTCCGGGCTGTTCCATTGCCAATCCAGCTCTTTACTATGGCCTGAGAAAGCAGCACAAGATGCCCCAAGTCCTTGGGGCCCTGCACCCATGTGGGAGACCTGGAAGAAGCTCCTGGCTTCGGATCGGCCCAGCTCCAGCCATTGCGGCCAATTGGGGAATAAAAAGCAGATGGAAGACCTCTGTCTCTGCCTCTCCTTCCCTGTGAAACTCTGACTTTAAAATAAATAAATCTTTTTTAAAAAATAGAAAAGGAAAAGGAACTGGTGCGAGTGTTCAGAGCAGGAGATAACAAGCTTGGGACACTCACATTCTGTATCTAAGCGCCCAGGTTTGAGTTCTACTTCTGCTCCTGATTACAGGCTCCTGCTAATGCACATCATGAAAGGCAGCGAGTGATGATCCACATACTCGGGTCCTTAGAATTCAAGGAGACCTAGGCTGCGTTCTGGCATCCTGGATCTGAATGAGCTGAGCCCAGCTGCTGGGTACTTTGGGAGTAAGGAGTAAACCAGCAGATGAGGTACTTCTCTATGCCTTTCAAATAAGTAATATTTCAAATAAAAAAGAAAAAACTAAGTGATTTTTACAAATGAAACCTAAAAAATAGTACAAGTATAAAATATACACACTAGAATGACAAAAATTACAGATTACTGATATGAATACTGATGAGAATGTGTAACAACTTGAACTCTTTCATGTTTGAAGATTACAATGGCAACTTATGCTCAACAGCAAATCACTAAAGCAAGCGAGTATTCTTCAAGGGTGAGCTTGCAATGGTACCGAGTCAGCAAAACAAAGAAGGAATGCAGGAGGATGCACACAACTACTTAACAAAAGTTTGGGCTGAGTAAAAGAAATCTCTCATAAAAGGTTCTGATTCTATTTCTAAGTAGTTGTAGAATCGGCAAATTTAATCTACGGCCAGAAAGTACAAAATTATATCAGTGGTTAACCCTGGAAAGGAAGGCTGCGGGAAACTCTCCCAGATAATGATGTTTCAAACTAAGGAGGCTGGCTGTTGTGAGGCAGCAGGTTAAGCCACCACTTGGGACTCCAGGCACTCCATGCCAGAATGCCTGGTCTGAACCCAGGCTACTCTGAGCTTCCAACCTAGTTTCCTGCTAATAAATCTGCAAGACAAGCACTGATGGTCCAAGTGTTTGGGCCCTGCCATCTGGAGACCTGGATGGAGTGCCTCGCTCCTTGATCCAGCGTGGTCTAGCTCTGGTTTGGGCAAGCATTCAGAGGAGTGAAGCAGCCAGTCAAAGGTCTCTCCATCTCCTCCCTCTGTTACTCTTTCACGAAAATAAGTCTTTAAAAAACAAAGATATGTTTACCTAAACTCCACAAATGAAACACTTTAAAATTCAACTAACTGAGGGGCCAACACTGTGGCGGAGCAGGTTAACGTCCTGGCCTGAAGCACGACATCCCATATGGGTGCAGGTTCAAGACCTGGCTGCTCCACTTCTGATCCTGCTCTCTGCTATGGCCTGGGGTAGCAGCAGAAGATGGTCCAAGTCTTTGGGTCCCTGCACCCATGTGGGAGACCCAGAAGAAGCTCCTGGCATCAGATAGGCGCAGCTCCGGCCGTTGCAGCCATCTGGGGAGTGAACCAGTGGATGAAAGACTCCTCTCTCTCTCTCTGCCTCTCCTATCGCTGTGTAACCAGAGCCTGTGCTGTGGCACAGCAGGTAAAGCCACTGCCTGCAGTGCTGCTATTCCATATGGGTGTTGGTTCTAGTCCTGTCTGTTCCACTTCCGATCCAGCTCCCTGCTATGGCCTGGGAAAGCAGTGGAGGATGGCCCAAGTCCTTGGGCCCCTGTAACCTCATGGGAAGATCTAGAGGAAACTACTGGCTCCTTGCTTTGGATCATCCCAACTCCTGCCGTTGTGGCCAGCTGGGGAGTGAACCAGCAGATGGAAGACCGACCTCTCTCTCTCTCTCTCTCTCTCTCTCTCTCTTTCCCCTTCTCTCTCTGTATAACTCTGACTTTCAAATAAATAAATAAATCTTTAAAAAAATTCAACTAGCCGGCGCCACGGCTCACTAGGCTAATCCTCCACCTTGCGGCGCCGGCACACCAGGTTCTAGTCCCGGTCGGGGTGCCGGATTCTGTCCTGGTTGCCCCTCTTCCAGGCCAGCTCTCTGCTGTGGCCAGGGAGTGCAGTGGAGGATGACCCAAGTACTTGGGCCCTGCACCCGCATGGGAGACCAGGAGAAGTACCTGGCTCCCACCTTCGGATCAGCGCAGCGCGCCGGCCACAGCGCACCGGCCGCAGTGCGCCGGCCGCAGCGGCCATTGGAGGGTGAACCAACGGCAAAGGAAGACCTTTCTCTCTGTCTCTCTTTCTCACTGTCCACTCTGTCAAAACAAAATTTTTTTTTCAAATAACCATTATGTAAAAATAACACAAAAGTAACCATAAGACATTGAATTCTTGGGGTCAGCACTATGGTAAAGCCGTCATCTGCCACAACAGCATCCCATATGAGAACCACTTCAAGCCCAGGCTGCTCCAATTCCAATCCAGCTCACTGCTAATGTGCTCGGAAAAGCAGCGGAAAACATAGCAAGTGCTTGGGCCCCTGCACCCACTTGGGAGACCAGGAAGCTCTCCTGGCTTCCGGCTTCCCTGTCGCCCAGCCTTGGCCACTGCAGCCATTTGGGGAGTGAACCAGTGTGCTCTCTTTCCCCATAACTCTATTATTCAAATAAACAAACCTTAAAAAAAAAAAAAAAAAACTGAATTCTGATTAATACGTAAAACAGTATTTTGAAAGAGGTAAGTACATAGACATCTGCAATTTACTTTGAATTACGTCAAAAAACATATAACTGATGGGTATGTAGGACAGATAGAGAAGCAGAGATGTGATACAAACAAGCAAAGAAACCGCCAGACTTCCCCTAGATGGCTGCCCTAGTCCATATTCCCTCTAATGTGTATTCTCTCTCTCCAACAAGCACAACCCTAGTAGGTGTAAAGTAGTATCTCATATTGTTTGTGTTTTTTTTATTCGAAAGGAAGTTACAGAGAGGCAGACAGAGAGCGAGGTCTTCCACCTGCAGGTTCACTCCCTAAATGGCCACAATGGCCAGAGCTGATCCGAAGCCAGGAGCCACGAGCTTCCTCTAGATTTTCCCATGCGGGTGCAGGGGCCCAAGGACTTGGGCCATCTTCTATTGCTTTCCCAGGCCATAGCAGAGAGCTGAATCAGAAGTGAAGCAGCCAGGACTCGAACTGGCACCTATAACTTTACTCACTAAGCCACAGCACTGGCCCCTCACATTGGTTTTCATTTGTACATCTTTAATGGCTAATAGCATTTGAACATCTCCTTGTATATACTAGCAATTTTCACATCTACTTTAGAGAAATGTCAACTCAGATCTTTGCCCATTTTTTAATTAGGTTGGCTTATTACTAAGTTGTAATAGTTCTTTATATATTCTAGTTACAAGTCAGTACAAGGAAAAAAAAAAGATTGTTTTATTTAGTTATTTAAAAGGCAGAGTAACTGAGAGACCTGAAGAGACAAAGATCTACCATCTATTGGTTCACCTCCCAAAAGGCCACAAGCAGCCAATGCAGATCTGGCCCTGCCTAAAGCCAGGAACATGGAGCTTTATCTGGGTCATCCACATGGGTGGCAGGGACCTAAGCACATGGGCCATCCTCCACTGCTTTCCCACGTGCATTAGCAGGGAACTGGGACAGAAGTAGAGCAGCTGGGACTCAGACTCGGACCAGTGCCCAAACCGGAAGCTGGCATCGCAGGAAGCAGCTCACCTACCTACACCACTATGCTAGTCATTTCTTCTTTTTTTCTGAAATCTACTGTCTGAACCCGGAGCCAGGAACTTCATCCAGGTCTCCCACATAGGGAGCAGAGATCCAAGTATCTGGGCCATCATCTGCTCCCTTCCCAAGCCCATTAGCAGGGAGCTGAGATCAGAAACCAAACAGCTGGGACTCAAATCAGCACTGCAATGCCAGCATTGCAATCAGTGGCTTACCCCACTGTGCCACAGCGCCCAGCCTGGTCAAGTTTTTCAATCTCTTTAAAGCCCATCGAATACACACACAGAGCAACTAAGAAAGCAAAACCAAAGCACATCAACAAAACAAAACAAAACAAAACAAAACAAAAACTAGGTAACAAAGTATCCCCATAAACCCTAAAACAAATGAGTAGACAAGCCACCAATAGCTTTAATTCCTGCTTCAAATGAGCTGTGCCAAAGGAAATAGAAAGAAACAATCAGACATCAAAAAGACCTGAAAACTTCAGAATAACTGAAATTTAAGTCAAGCTGAACACAGGAACTACAATGAGAGGAGTTTGCACAGTCCAGAACCAGAGTCCAAAAGGCCTTCATGGCACGGCACGGCAGCACAATGAGTAAAGCTGTCGTCTGCAGCGCTGGCATCCCAGTTGGTGCTTCCAACCCAGGTCCCTGCATATAATGCCCTGGGAAAGCAGCTGAAGATGGCCCAAGTGCCTGGGCCCCTGCACCTCCACGGGAGACCCAGCTAAAGCTCCTGGCTTTGGCCTGGCCTAGCCCTGGCCGTTGTGGAGTGGCCCAGCGAATGGAAGATCTGCCTCTGCCTCTCCCTCTCTCTAACTCCGCCTTTCAAATAATTCCAAACAGGGCACAATCCAAGTTTCCCTCAAGGGAAAAAGGATTATGTTGAAAAAACTACTGGTAAGAAATTCCAAACTGAGCTAGACAGCAACAATAAAGAAAGGAGGCTATGAGGCGGCAAAAACAGACCTCAGAGAGCAATGCAACCTCACTGTGAACAGGGCCCTGTGCTGCCTAAAGATGTTCCAGTCAACAACAGACCACAAGCAGGGCACCTGACAGCCTAGGTGGGTAGTTGGCTCCAATTCTTGGGTCTGTGTAAGAACACAACTACAACTCTCCCAACACGTCTTAGAAGGCTGCAAGAGCATACTTCACAGAAACAAAAGAAGGTGTTCTGGAACAGTGAAGTGTAAGAAAAATTCTTAAATCACAATTTCCATCTAAAGATTCATTGAGGGGACCAGCACTATGGCCTGGTGGGTGAGCCGCTGTCTGCGACGCTGGCATTCCAGACTGGCACCAGCCGGAGTCCCTCCCGCTCCATTTATGATCCAGCTCCTGCTGGGAAAGCAGTGCAAGATCCCCAAGTGCTTGGACTGCTGCACCCACGAGGGAGACCTGGAAGAAACCTCTGGTTCCTTGCTTTGGCCCGTCCCAGCTCTGGCCGCTGCCATCTGGGGAGAGAACCAGCAGATGAAGATCTGTCTCTCTAATTCTGACTTATAAATCTTTAAAAAGAAAAAAGATTCATGGAGTATGTATTGCACTTAAGAATAAGTAAAAGGACAGGCCAACCCATAAGACAGTAAGTGCACTGACAGCAGTCTAGGTTCTGAGGGAAATGGAGAGTGCCTGCTAGCAGGTACCGGGCTATATTTTGGGTGATAAGAACACATTATTAGAATTACATAGTGGTTTTTTACCTTGAAAATATATTAAAAATCACAGAAATGTATGTACACCTTAACATGGTTTGCTTTGGGAATAAAAAATGACAAAGGAAATGAACAAAAATTCAGAACTAGAAAAAACGGAGAATTAGAAATAAAAGAACAAACATCAGAAATGAAAATTAAACACAAAGTATGCAATAGTTTGTTACCATGATAATGTCAGGAGAGGTAAGAAAAAAATGACAAATGCAGCAGACAACTTTAAGAAAAATCCAGTAACAAAGTAAAAGAATTACCAAAGAAAACCAAAGCACAGAAACAAATACTAAACCAACTAAGTTCAAGAAAACTTCATTAATTCAAGAAGTTATTTAGATTTTAAAAATCATTAAACTATAATAGGCACACTATATAAACTGAGAAAAATCGAATCAAAATAACAAGTATCAAACTACTGTAATATTATTGAATTTTCACAAAAAAATAAAAAGTATGCCAAAGACACCTGAACAGGAAGTCAAAGGAACAAACAATGCACAACCGGATCTGCACTGACACACCTGCTAGCAGCATTACAGAGGGCACAACAGCCTGGCTCACTGAAGGTGCTCAAAAAACATGAACCACGCATTTCTATCCAGCAACTTAAAAGTCACTTTCAAGTACACACATAGCAAACAAGCTGTTAGCAACACACAGGAAGTGAAGGAACACAGGCCACCAGCACTGTTCCTTAGGAATCCAACGATCAGAATGGTGAAGACAGAAAACCATAAAGCCAATGGTAACCCACTGGGATCACAAACAAAAAACTGAACAATAACTGTCACTCTGCTGGTGGGGTGCTAAGATGGTGCAATCACTGAGAAAAACAGACGTTGCTCCACAAGTTAACCTGTCGTCACTGGCCAGCAACTACCCTACTACATAAGTGCCCTGACAGAACTGAAAACAGACACTCCAAATACTCATTAGTTCACAAATGCACCTGTGAGAAGCAGAAGATGGCCCAAGCATGGGCCTCTGCAACCAGTGTGGGAGACCTGGATGAAACTCTTGGCTCCTGGCTTTAGCCTGGCCTAGCCCTGACCAGTGCAGTCATGTGAGGAGTAAACCAGCAGATGGAAGAGCCTTCTAACTCTGATTATCAAAATAAACATATATATGTGTGTATACACACACACACACATAAAGCACTTCACTCTTATTTTATAAAAACTGACAACATATATAATACATGCATATGTATGAAGAACTAGCAATCTGCTGGAATATTCAATTAATCAGAACAAAAACTAGTCTACATTCTAGAATAACCAAACTCAAGCTTTTAAAAAAAAAAAAAAAAAAAAGTAGGATCCTGGACAGTCTCTAACATATTTACCCTTAGAACTGAAATTATCACATAACAATGATTTCAACAAAAAACTAATTAAGGTAATGTGGAGAAAAAAACACAATTCAGCTTAACAGCAAAATACTGATATGGTTACCTATTCATTATTCCAGATACATCAACATCATTCATAAAACATTCAATGTTCAAAGGGAGGTCTGAAGCATTTGCACTCATCAATTTCTTGAGTTTCTCACACTCCTGGGAGAGTCGTAACAATGCACGGATTTTGGACTTTATGTCTAGCTTGTATTTCTTTCCAAATTCTTCACAGAAGTGATTTACCAACACCTCATCAAATTTTCTGCCTCCCAGTGTTGTGTCAAATGCAGTGGCCAGGACCTTTAGAAAAAAGCATAATTAATCCAACAATTAATTACTCAATTACTCAATTTTAAAACTTACGATGATTCGTATCTAACTGGCAAGTTGTTTAGAAAGTGAGGAAGGAGTACTTCAAGATTGAAATAGGTAGGGCTGGAGTTGTGACATGGTAGATCAAGCCTCTGTCTACAGTGCTGGCATCCCATATGGGTGCCAGTTCATGTCCTGCCTGCTCCTTTTCCAAGCCAGCTCTCTGTTTATGGCCTGAGAAAGCAGTGGACGATGGCCCCAGGGCTTGTGCCCCTGAAACCATATAGCAGACCCGGAAGGAGCTCCTGGCTCCTGATCACCCCAGCTCTGCCATTGTGGCCACTGGGGAGTGAACCAGTAGATGGGAGATCTCTCTCTGTCTCTGTTTCTCTCTAACTCTGCCTCTGAAGTAAATAAATAATCTTAAAAAAAAAAAAAAAATGTCCGGCGCCGTGGCTCACTAGGCTAATCCTCCACCTGCAGCGCCGGCACACCGGGTTCTAGTCCCGGTCGGGGCACCGGATTCTGGCCCAGTTGCCCCTCTTCCAGGCCAGCTTTCTGCTGTGGCCCGGGAGTGCAGTGGAGGATGGCCCAAGTCCTTGGGCCCTGCACCCGCATGGGAGACCAGGAGGAAGCACCTGGTTCCTGGCTTCGGATAGGCACAGCATGCCGGCCATAGCAGCCATTTGGGGGGTGACCCAACAGAAGGAAGATCTTTCTCTCTAACTCTGCCTGTAAAAAAAAAAAAAAAAAAAAAAAAAAAAACACCTGAAACAGGAAATCTCATTTTAATTCTTGTTACAATTATACTGTGAAGAAGACACTGTAACCCTCAACTCAGAGATAATACCACAACCTACACAAATGAGACAGCCAACATGTCACAAAGTTACTAATGGTATATGTGGAATTCAAAATCAAATCTTCATTCCAAAATCCACACCAATGTCACTTCCAAAAGCAACTGCATGCCAAAGACCAACATATCTTGGGTATACTTCTCATCTTGTTACCATACAAAATCTTTAAATGCCCAAAGTCTAGCTCAATGCAGTATACTACCTGAAAGATGGTAAATCCCTTAACATGCAAATCTAATTAATTTAGATTACCTATTTTCCAAATATCTAGCAGAATGGAACAAGATCTAATTGGATTAAACAGAATACTGGCTAAACAAGTGACGATACCCTAAAGAAGGAATAAAGCCAGTAATTACAATTTCTTTGAAGAATGCAAAGTGTCATGGGGAAATTTTCTTGACATGTTAGCTGGAAAAAGAAGGGGGGAAAAAATAGGACACAGAACCAAGTGTGATTCCAATTTGTTTTATTAAAAATTAGAAAACATGGGGGCCGGCACTGTGGCGTAGCAGGTAAAGCCGCCACCTGCAATACCAGCATCCCATATGGGCGCTGGTTCGAGTCCCGGCTACTCCACTTCTGATCCAGCTCTTTGCTATGGCCTGGGAAAGCAGTACAAGACAGCTCCTGCGGCCACACAGGAGACCTGGAAGAAGCTCCTGGCTCCTGGCTTTGGACTGGAACAGCTCCAGCCACTGTGGCTAATTGGGGAGTGAACCAGCAGATGAAAGACCCCTCTCTCTCTGCCTCTCCTTCTTCCTCTGTGTAAATCTTTCAAATAAAATAAATAAATCTTAAAAAAAAAAAAAAAAACTAGAAAAAAGAAAATATATACAAAAATACAAAATGTTTAAAGAGTGTCAAGATTATAAATGCTTTATTCACACGAGTGTTTTCAAAGCAGGTGTACAATAACACTCATTCTTTTCTTTTTTGCATTTGTGACTCCAGACAGGATCCAAAGAAGAAACGACCATCTCTTCTCTGGGTTTTATGGAGACTTACTTTCCCCTTCTGTGTTAGCCTCTCAGAGCACTCTGTCAGCTCTGAAAGGGCACAGGAAAGGGTGTAACAGCACTCTAACACAAAGCAGACTAAATTCTCCCATATGGGAGCTGGTTCGTATCCTGACTGCTCTACTTCCAATCCAGCACCCTGCTAATGGCCTGGGAAAGCAGTGGAAGATGGCCCAAGTGCTTGGGCCCTTGAACCCACATGGGAGACCAGAAGATGCTCCTGGGTTCAGATCGGCCCAGCACTGGCAGCTGCAGCTATTTGGGGAATGAACCAGGGGATGTAACACTTCTGTCTCTCCTTCTAACTATGCATCTAAAGAAAATGAATAAATCTTAAAAAAAAAAAAAAAAGAAAGAAAGAAAGAAAGAAAAGAAAAGAAAAGAAAAGAAAAGAAAAGAAAAGAAAAGAAAAGAAAAGAAAAGAAAAGAAAAGAAAAAGGAAAGAAAGAATTCTATTCATAATTAAAGTATAAACTCTGAAAATTTACAACCGGCCCATGATTATAGCTGTAAAAATCACAAACCTATTTCCTAATCATCTAAAAGTTTTGCTTTCTTTTAAAAAGAAAAAATAAGGGGCCAACATTCTGGTGAAGCAGGTTAAGCCGCCTGCTGCAATGCTGGCATCCCATATGGGCACTGGTTTGCGCCCCAGCTGCTCCACTTCTAATCCAGCCCCTAGCTAATGTTTAGGAAATCACTGGAGGATGGCACCCCTGTCGTCCACATGGGAAACCCAGAAGCAGCTCCATGGTGCTGGATTAGGCTGGCACAGCTCTGGCATTGAGTCCATTTGGGGAGTAAAACAGCACACTGAAGATCTTTCCTTCTGTCTAACTCTGCCTTTCAAATAAACAAACAATAAATCTTTAAAAAAAATAAACCCTAGAAATTACACAAAGTAGGATAAAAACTAGAACCAAGTACATTTTCAAAGAAATAGAATCAGAACAAATCTAATCTCAAAATGCCCTCCAAAACGATCCGCATGTATTTGGTGATAAATTCCCAATCTTGGGGCAGGGCAACCCAATTTAGACCTTGGCACCAAGAACCTGGATATACAACTCAAGTAATTAAACCAAACATGAGTTAAAATCATCCAGAGTGGGAGGGAGAACTGGAGGACCGAGCACCAGCCAGCAAACTCAACTGTGATCACCCTCTGGCCCCTGCTTGCCTTCTACACTGCCTACACCCCAGAACTTCGAGATTTTAGAACGCAGTCTCGTTTCTCTTGCATCCAAGTTCCAGCCCCTCTAGCCTTCTTCCAGGACACTCAAATTTAAATTTCAAATTCTCCCTCTAACCCCACCCCACCGCCCCGTGTGAAAACACTTAAGAGACTACATGTTTAAACACTCCTCACTAATAAGCCTCCAAGTTAAGCATTATTTTCCCCATCAGATTAAAACTAAGACTCAGGAATCTCAGCATTTTCTTTTAAGGTCTGTGCACTTTGCTTCACAGCCTACCAACATTTAATGAATTATTCTAGGCCAACAAGCTCAATCCCCACCCCTACAATATCAACTCCCCGGGTTAAATGGCTACAAAATTCTTCAACCAAATTAAGCTTTCTCTCAAACACCTGTCACTATACTTTTAATACAGTTAAGAGTCTTTGGGGAAAAAACAAAACAAACCATACTTACTTTCAGTTTTGCTCTATTAAATGCACACACAGAAACTTGATAAGCAGAATGTCCCATATCTACAAAAACTACATTTCTTGGTTTCTCTTCTAAGGCAGGAAGATCTTGTTTATAGATTCCATATGCCAGAGCAACTACACAAGAGGAAAAAAAATTCAATGTAATAGTATCACCTAAGTAATAAACAAAATTCAGGAAGTATAAAATATTCTATATATAGTGAACAATACTACATCATGGGTTCTGTTTTAGACAGAATCCAAGTCTTTATAAGCCTTGTACAATTTATTCAAGACTGACTAACTTCGAAGAGTTAAAAGCTGAGATTTACTTCGGCTTTTATGAGGAACCAATTTCCCCATTTTCCAAGCACTTCTTCCTGGGTTTTTTCTCCCCTTGCACATCAACATTCGCGCACAACCTGCCCTAGGATGCTGCTTTACACCCCATTCCTCCGCCAGTCAGTCAGAAGGCCCACTTGTAAACCAAAGCACCGTCCCACATGCGGCGCATTCCTTTCCAAACAAGCATGTGATTAATGAGCAACGTCTGTGCCATGACGGTCTAGAAGAAGTTCAGTCAGATTAATTCCTCATATATGACATAATATCCAAAAAACCACGACACGCAAGTGGTAAGCAAGGATGGTAGGATTCCAAGTAAAATAAAAAGGAAGAAGCCCTAGAGATTTTGCAACCTCAAGATTAAACAAGTCAGGCCTGTGCTGTGGCGTAGCAGGCTAAGCTCCTGCCCATGACAGTGGCGTCCCATATGGGCACCAATTTGTGTCCAGGCTGCTGCTCTTGAGATCCAGTTCTCTGCTTATGGCCTGGGAAAGCAGCAGAAGATGGTCTAAGTGCTTGGGCCCCTAAACCTGCATGGGAGACCTGGAAGAAACTCCTGGCTCCCAAATGGCTCACTTCATTTGTTGAGTGAACCAGCAAATGGAAGACCCCTCTCTCTCTAACTCCCTATCTCTATCTCTCAAACAAATAAATAAAATCTTAAAAAAAAAAAAAAAAAAGGATTAAACAAGTCAGAAAAGTAATCAACAGTCCCCCTCACCTGCTGTGGTTTCATTCATTAATCGCAGACAATTGAGACCAGCAATCTGTGTTGCATCCATCACTGATCGACGTTCTGCATCAGTATAGAAACAAGGAACCTACAAAAAAATTGTCCAAGTTTATTTTTATGAAATCCTCCTTTTAGTTGATAAAAATCCAGGTACACTTTCAAATATCTCTGAATGAAAGCAGTATTTGCTAACAGTAGAGAAGAATTAGACTACTGAGTTAGCAGCATTTGGGCGAGTGCACAGCCACACATCACGTCACACATGGACATCAGACACCATGTAACAGGCAGTAGCAACCACACAGAACAGTACACACCAAGGCAGAGAATGCTACCTTCACAAGGGCCAACCTGCAATGTCGGCCCTCGCCTGTCACCTGCAAGTTCTCTAAACAGTTCTTGACAGTTCTCCAAACTGACAGGCAGATTTCCCCATATGTTCAAGTGTGGCTTGCTATGCCCAACGTTGTCCTTCCGTGAGTCTGAGATCTTGGTACCACACTGGGTACATGACGGACCTCCCAATAAAAACCTGACTTTCAGGCTCAGGATGGAGGACACATCTCGTATTGTTATAACGTGTCTTTGAAGCTTGTGCCTGGTTTCCTCAGAGGCCATTTTCTGTTTTTTATCCTCCCACTGTAAGAAATTCTAATGCAAGTACACCTATATGATAAGTCCTCGGAGTGTTCCTAGCCAATCTCCAAAGCTCAATGTGGTCTCAAGACCCTCCAAACATGACCTAACTCATCATCATTTAATTAGATGCCAAAACTGGAAAAGCCATTCAGGCATTCTTCTATTCTCATGTTAGCTTTACTTCAACACCGAGTGTAATTCAGAAGTAAAATGAAGGGTATCAGATAAGGAAATAGGGAGGAGCCTAGGGGACAGATGGAGAGCTGAGAAAAGGTAGAAAGCATCTAACAAACACGACGCCTCCCGCATGGGAGACCCACACAGAGCTCCTGGCCATGGCCGGGCCCAGCCCTGCCTGCTGCAGCTATCCAGGGAGTCAATCAGTGCATGGAAGATCTTTCTCTCTCTCTCTCTCTCTCTCCTTCCTTCCTTCCTTCCTTCCTTCCTTCCTTCCTTCCTTCCTTCCCTCCCTCCCTCCCTCCCTCTCATTCTTTCTTTGTAACTCTTTCAAATAAGCAAATCTTTAAACGAAGAAAAAAAAAAAAAGAAACATGGTGCCTGCTACTGAACCACTGAGGACTCAAGGTCATGGAATCTGAGATCTTTCCATAGCCACATTAGGAGGAGAAAGGCCACAGACCTCAGTATCAGGTAACAAAGAGGGCATTTGGTGGCAAAGCCAACACAGCCACCCTAAGACTCCACCACACCCCAAGCACACAGCTACAAGCGGCCAGGCCGCAAGCTGGTAGGTGTCTTCAAAGAGTCCATGTAAAGTGAGTACTGTAAAAAAAAAAAAAAAAAAAAACTATGCATGAAACTTCAAAACTTTCTGCACCAAAACAAACACTTTTTAATTCCAGTTTTTCCACAAACTGCTTGAAATACTCTTGTAAGCAAGAATATGTGAAAGCCAAGATAAAGTCTAATGCTACCCTGACTTTAGTACTGGACACAGCAAACAGAGACAAAGCCATTTATACTTGGATACATTTAACTCATTCAACTAATGCTTGGCTACCCTGTGCCACACCAAGAAACCAAGAGCAAGCAGGCTTTGAGGCGGGCCTTGAAGAACAGACAAGATTTAAGTGGCAGAATAATGGAGGAGGCCTGAGTAAGTGAGGAGGCAGAAACAATATTTAAGAAAATGAAGGCTTGTGTGTTAAGTTCTTAACCATTTAACAGGACAAAAAGTAATTCTACTGGCACGCAACAGGAAGTCCCCTTCTCTTTCCCCACTATCAGTACCGTGTGAGATGAAACGCACCGAAACAACACAGTCAACAACAGGCTTCTTAAGAACACTTTCTGCTGTCTCCTTTAGTTTAGACAAAAGCATGGCTGTCACTTGCTCAGTGGTAAAATGTCGCTCTTCTTCCATATATGTCACCTGCGAGAAAACAAGAAAAGGATCTAGATTTACCGTATTTCTTCTTTTCCTAGTTCTGGAAGCCTACAACGAGAGCACCGCACATCAACAATGCAACATTATTTTAACATGGAGCTGAAGAAAGCTAGTTTTAGAAGCAATAACTTGAAGGCCACTTTCAGCTTTTTGACTTTTTTTTTTTTTTTTTTTGGACAGGCAGAGTGGACAGAGAGAAAGGTCTTTCTTTGCCGCTGGTTCACCTCCCAATGGCCGCTGCAGCCAGCACACTGCGCCAATCCGAAGCCAGGAGCCAGGTGCTTCTCCTGGCCGCCCATGCCGGGTGCAGGGCCCAAGGACTTGGGCCATCCTCCACTGCACTCCCGGGCCACAGCAGAGAGCTGGACAGGAAGAGGAGCGACCAGGACAGAATCCAGCGCCCTGACCGGGACTAGAACCTGGTGTGCCGGCGCCGCAGGCGGAGGATCAGCCTACTGAGCCGCAGCGCCGGCCTTTACGTGCTTTCCACACACAGTATTTCAAGATGTAGGACCACAATGTAAAATAACAAAACCTGGGGTAGCTGTTTGGCCTAAGATGGCGGTGAAGACACGCACAGCCTATACTGGGAGTGCCGGAGTTTGATTCCTGACTCCAGCTTCTTGATAACACAGACCGTGGGAAGCAACAGTCTCTCGTGACAGGGTTCCTTGCACCAATGTGAGACACTCCCAATACACAGTTAGGCTGCCCCCTGCAGTACCGCCATCCCATCTGGGCACCGGTTTGTGTCCCAGCTGCTCCACTTCCAATCCAGCTCCCTGCTAATAATGTGCCTGGGAAAGCAATGGCAGTATTAACTTCAAGCCATCATTCCCAAAGCCCTCAACTCATACCAACAGCCTCAACAATGACTAGCAAATAAAAATCTAAATCACTTTTTAAAATGTCAAATGGTATGTACCAGTGAAAGCATTTCCTAAGAATTTGGAAGGCTTTTCATTATAACTTGACATCAGAAAAGTACTAATAAAATTATGAGCACACTCAACAAGTAAAAATACATTTTAATCCTAAGTTATATTATCAAGAGAACCTTACCTTTATGCCCGTTAAGCCAGTGGGCAACTGCACGATATCATAAGCAAGGTTAGATTTTTCTGCCTCCACAAATGGATCAGAGAAAGCGCGGCCATGGAATCTTTTAAATCCTTGGACTGTGTTTTTTGCATTGGAGATTACCTAAGGGAAAGCAAATCAAAGAATGGAAACACTATTAGTTTTCTTCTTCAATAGCCTCAGATTAAATGGCATCATCTTACCTTTACAAAGCTGCCTTCTTGGTTTCGGTTGTCATCAGACACTAAGCCTTTCTGAACACTGTCCACCAGCACGCAAAATGAGGGCTGAGCATGGGGCCCCACAGCAGTGCTGCGGCCAGGGCCAGTTCTTCCCACTTCTTCATGAACTCTGGACATAAACAGTGAGAGAAGCACTTTCTGTTCTTGGACTTCTAACAAGCATTCACATAAAATTCATGTAACATCACCAAGATGTTACAGCTGACCTGAACCCGGGGACCTGCTCTCCCCACAGTGAAACACGAAGCAGATGAGCAAACCGAGAAGGCAATTTTCAGCAGAGGAGTTTTATGGAAAAGAAGAGAGGAATTCAAGCAGCAGATGGAAAGCTCCTGGGAAAGAGCCGGGAGGGGCTTCTTCAGCAGGAAAAGGCTGGTTCCTGGTCTACAAGGAAAACTCAGGGCAAGTACTTCACTGTGTTTCTAGAGAAATTACATCAACACTGACCTCCAAGAAAAAGCTTTTGAAAATTGCTCAAACTTTCCAGGAACCAATTTGTCAATGCATATCAATTTCACCAAGGACAAAAGACCAGACTAAGTACACAAAGACAAATGCAAAGAGCATTATTTATCATTATAGCAGAAGACTGAAAACAGCCTGGACAGTTAATGACAAGGGAACACTGAAGTAAATTATGAGATACCCAAACAAGGAAAAAACCAAGCAACTGAAAAACATTTTTAGAAAATAAGAACTGTGTAATATGGTATGATCTCACATTGTTACAGGAAATAATTTCTGGATAATTGTTGAACAAGTGACCCACAATTTCTAATTCCTCTAGGATGAACTAGTCTAACATTTTGTTGGGGGAGGGATGAAGGTTCTGGCAAAGATATTAAAAAATATTCCAAACGAACTTCTCCTTAAGATTTACAGGACTAGCCGGCGCCGCGGCTCACTAGGCTAATCCTCCGCCTTGCGGCGCCGGCACACCAGGTTCTAGTCCCGGTCAGGGCACCAGATTCCGTCCCGGTTGCCCCTCTTCCAGGCCAGCCCTCTGCTGTGGCCAGGGAGTGCAGTGGAGGATGGCCCAAGTGCTTGGGCCCTGCACCCCATGGGAGACCAGGAGAAGCACCTGGCTCCTGCCATAGGATCAGCGCTGTGTGCCGGCCGCGGCGGCCATTGGAGGGTGAACCAACGGCAAAGGAAGACCTTTCTCTCTGTCTCTCTCTCACTGTCCACTCTGCCTGTTAAAAAAAAAAAAAAAAGATTTACAGGACCTTCCTGCCACGGCAGAGGTGTAACAGACCGTCACAAGAGAAATCAGAGCTTCTCTGTTTCAGCTGTGCCCAAAGGCAGACACCTCAGTTCTCTTATAAAACAAAGGCTCCAAATGAGGCGCTGCTTGAGCAAGATGCCAAAAAGAAACTGTATCACAGAAACTATGTCAACCCAGAACTCAGGAGGCAGTTCAGTACAATAACTGCTCTCAGTAAGAAAGCAAGTTCAGAAACAGAGAACCCACTAGAGTTTTAAAAGACATTTCAAATTGAACTGTATTTGCTATCTATCGCTTCCTAAAATATCTTAGACATACATGGGGCCGGCGCAGTGACAAAGCTGGTACAGCCACGGCCTGCAGAGCTGCCATGCCATATGGGCACTGGTTCAAGACCCAGCTGCTCCACTTCCAATCCAGCTCCCTGTTAATGCACCTGGGAAAGCAGCGGAAGACGGTACAAGTCCTTGGGCTCCTGCACCTACGAGGCAGACCAGGAAGAAGCTCCTGGCTCCCTGGCTTCAATTCAGCTGAGCTCCAGCTTTTGAGGCCATCTGGGGAGTGAACCAGCGGATGGAAGCTCTCTCTCTGCAACTCTACCTTTCAAATAAATAAATCTTTAAAAAAAAAAAAAAAATCTTAAGGCTGGCGCCGTGGCTCACTTGGCTAATCCTCTACCTGCGGCGCTGGCACCCCGGGTTCTAGTCCCGGTTGGTCCCAGTTGCTCCTCATCCAGTCCAACTCTCTGCCGTGGCCCGGGAGGGCAGCGGAGGATGGCCCAAGTGCTTGGGTCCCTGCACCCGCATGGGAGACCAGGAGGAAGTACCTGGCTCCTGGCTTCGGATCGGCACAGCGCCGGCCATAGCGGCCATTAGGGGAGTGAACTAACAGAAGGAAGACCTTTCTCTCTGTCTCTCACTGTCTATAACTCTCTGTCTCTCGAACTCTGTCAAAAAAAAAAAAATCTTAGACATTTTTAAAGACTATAAATAACCAATTTAATTTAAAAAAAAATCAATCAAGCATCATTTTTTTAGGTTCATAAATTGTAAGTTTTGCTCAGTTCATAACGCGAAACCTACTCACTCTGTACAGTGCTCCAGAACGGACCACAAATAGCCCAACACCCACCTCTCTCATTCTACAGATAGCTCAAACGTTCTGAGAAAGGACTGTTAAGGTTCTGCTGTTCTGGTTATTCAAAAACACAACAGTATTTCAAAAAGTCCATTGAAAATAGAAACAAAAGATTAAGTTTACTCTAATACTAACATTTTTAAAATTCAGACCTAATTTTTACATAATATACATTTTCCATTAATTTTTGAGCATGCTTCATATAGGATTTCAACAATTCTTTACACCAAAATGAACTTCTCTTTTAATTTCATTTTTAATACCAACTTTCTGAAGCACCCTCGCATGTCAGGTTCCTGGTTTACAAAACTACCAGCAAGTCCTTTAGTGTGTTTCTAGAGGGATGCTTTTCTTCTTCAGAAACTTAGATCAACACTGACCTTAAAAACCAGTAAGACAAAAGGCCCAACAAGACAGATTTCAAAGAGCACTTCAAGTATCAAAAAACAAGCAAGCTTTGCTTCAACAAGATTAGGGCCAAATACATCCTAGCAGTCTGCATTAAACAATGTGCAAGGCTACTGCTATTTTATAAAGCTAACTGCTTCTCACTCAAGTACTCGAAAACAGGGATCAGGTCTGTGTGGGGTTGTACACACAGGATCTAGCTCTGTTAAGCACACAATGGACACTCAACCAGTTGCTGAACAGAAGGCTGCACACACCAGAGCAGACAGACATTTTAGGAGAAAACAAAACTCTACCTGGCTTTTAGCTGCTGCTCCAATTGAACGATTCTTAGGACCAAAAGAAATGCAAGCCCTAGAAGATAAAACAAACATTTAAGAATCAAACTGTATTGCAATATCACACAAAACCATAGCCGGCAAGATGCCTGAAGTCAGAGACTCAGCAGTACATGCTGGTGTACGACGTGGGCCCTGCCGCTGTAACGCTCCCGGAACGGTCTGCCTCGCTGCAAGTGAAGCCGCAGCGGACAGCAGGACCGCCCGTGTGAGATGTGGACGAGGGGGGACACCAGCGCCCCCACCACGTTCTAACTCTCCAGGTCATGTGTTCAAATCCCAATAAAAATCACGTCCACTCACACCAATACCATGTAAACGTTTTTCTTGTTTTTAAGACTGCTCATTACATCACCAAGAATACAGTCCACAAACCCTGAAAAACAACTGCATGGAAGAATTTTTCTAGAATGAGCTTCCAAGGACTTGGAATTTCTGACAGGGAACTTCACTCCCACTTCTACACATTCTTCTAAATCATCAGTTCTCACGCCACGTGCTGGTTTTGTCCACCAGAAGGGCGCGACACTCCCTTTCGTCTTGAAAGGTCAGCTCTACTGGAGCGGATGCTTTTCTTGTCATGGCCCCTCAGCTTCCCTCCACGCTCTTCATTCCAGGCCCTCCAGAATCTCGCCCTGTGTTCTTTTACTCTTAGCGCGTCACGTCCCTTTCTAGCATCTGCTCTCTCTCAACCTAGAATAACATCAAACTTATCCACATCACCCAAAAACTGCTGAAAGAAAAGACTCTTCCCAGAGTCTACTGCCCTACAGCTGCAAGCCTTCTCTCCCGCACACTTTAATAATGGCTACACCAACTGCTTCTATGAATTGTGCCATTGAACCCTCAGAAGCATCGTGTCTGAACACTTTACAAGAGATCAAAGTCCAAAGGCATTAATAGGTACACTTACCCAAGGTCCTGCAATCTGGAAGTGATGGCGTGAGGACTCTAGATCATGTCTCTATGTGCTCCACTCCAGTTCTGACCCTCTCAGCCCCTCTGAACTCAGTTCTTACAATTCTGCTGAGTAAGAAGGGTTCTAGGGCCAGCACTGTGCTCTAACAAGTAAAGCCACCGCCTGTGATGCCAGTATCCCATATGGGTGCCAGCTGAGTCCCAGCTGTTCTACGGGGAGTACCAACCCGCCCCACCCGTGTCTAGTAAATTTTTTTTTTATTTTTGACAGGCAGAGTGGACAGTGAGAGAGAGAGAGAGACAGAGAGAAAGGTCTTCCTTTGCCGTTGGTTCACCCTCCAATGGCTGCCGCGGCCGGTGCACTGTGGCCGGCGCACCGCGCTGATCCGAAGCCAGGAGCCAGGTGCTTCTCCTGGTCTTCCATGGGGTGCAGGGCCCAAGCACTTGGGCCATCCTCCACTGCACTCCCGGGCCACAGCAGAGAGCTGGCCTGGAAGAGGGGCAACCAGGACAGAATCCGGAGCCCCGACCGGGACTAGAACCCGGTGTGCCGGCACCGCCGGCCACCAGCTATACTTCTGATCCAGCTCCCAGCCAATGAGCCTGGGAAAACAGCAGAAGATGGCCCAAGTGCTTCAGTTGCTGCACCCACGTGAAATATGGAAGAAGCTCCTTGGTTCAGACCAGACCAGCCCCTGCTGCTGCAGCCATCTGAAGACTGAATCAGCAGATCGAAGACCTCTCTCTCTCTCTCCTTTCTCTGTAACTCTGTCTTTCAAATACAAAAATAAGTCTAAAAAAAGAATTTTTTTTAAAAGGGTAAGGATTCTGCCTTGGTCCAAATCTTAGCTACAGAAACACTAGATAATCTTTATCAACTTAATAGCTTTCTCCAAATTGGGAGAAGGCTAGAACTCTCTGGACCTTAGCCACCCTTTCTAGCAACTGACTAAGAGTTCCTGTGAACCAATTTTCCCAAACAGCAGTAGCAAAAATGCTCTGAACTAACTGATGGGAAGAACATGACACAGCCTGAGACTTCATTAGGCTTTCTCTGCATCCTAAGTTCTTTGGGTCTACCAATTGCAAGAGAACAGGAGGGACAAGTATTGTAGCACAGGTTAACCAATGCCTGGGATACCCACATCTGGGAGGCAGCAGGTTGGGTTCCTGCCGTCCACGTGGGAGATTACAGAAGGAGTTCCTGACTCCTGCTGCAGGCAGTGAGGGAGGAAGTCAGCTGCTGGAAAATCTCTCCCTAGCTGCGATTTTAAAATAAACTTACAAAACAAAACAAAACAAATGGGCACAGGTGTCAACTTCTTCCTTTACACAAATATGCTACCAATCACTAAAATAAATAAAACCTCCTGCTATCACTTCTAAGTCTCTCTTATCACAGTCCATACCACCCTTCAGGAAAGTGCCCATTCCATTCACTCCTTCCACTCCAAAGTTCTACCTAATAACTGGCACACCGCTATCTTTCCACAAATCCATCAGATCGGAATCTCTAAGGTGCATCCCAACGTCAACCCCTACACAACTGAATCACAAAGTTATCTATCTTCCATTATCTCCTGTAGCCTTGCTTTAATCTGCATCTCCTCAAAACAACCACCAGCTCTCAGAATAAACAACACTAATGTTGCCCGCCTGTAAACTCCACTGGGCGGCTAATTTCTTACCCTATCTCTGTAACTCTCAAGTTGTCTTGCTTTAATTACTTTCCACACAACACCCAACAAATTAAAGGCTCAGACTCCTGGACACAGAACCTCAGGCCTCTCGCAGCCCAACTCAACCCCGTTTTCGAGCTGCACCTCACCCATCAGCATCACAGTCCCCAGTGTCCGCTTCGCCATGCCACGCTCTGTCACCTGGAACGCCTGGGTCTTCTCTCAGTCTCCAGGAACATCACCTCTTCCGGCTTTAAAGCCTTCCCAATGCACTCCCTGAAACTAATCACTTCTTCCTCTTTACGCTTACTAACTGAGGCTTTATTTCTACTGAGCCCCGACAACAAACTGAACTATGACTGCTAACATCTCTGTTCCCTCTTCTAAAATTTTTTTTAAGATTTATTTTATTTGAAAAAACACAGTTACAGAGAGAGGTAGAGCCAGAGAGAGAGAGAAAGGTCTTGCATCTGCTGGTTCACTCCCCAGATGGCTGCAACTGCCGAAGCTGAGCCAATCCAAAGCTAGAAGCCAGAAGCTTTTTCCAGGTCCCCCCATGTGGGCACAGGGGCCCAAGGACTTGGGCCATCTTCTACTGCTTTCCTAGGCCATAGCAGAGAGCTGGATAGGAAGTAGAAGAGCCGGGGCTCAAACCAGCGTCTATATGGGATGCCGGCACTGCAGGCCAGGGTTTTAACCCGCTGCACCACAGCGTAACCACCCTAAGATAGTTTTTTACAAATCATACACGACAATCTATGTTTGGGGACTAACAGTCAATGGAAAGGTTAGAAGAGAAAGGTCAGGAAGGATGAGTCTTTAGTAGTGACTAAAACACCACTTGGCACACCAGCATTCTGGATCAGAGTGCTCTGGTTCCAGTCGGAGTCAAATTTCAGACAACCATCTTCCTGCTCATGCGCACCTTGGGAGGCTGCAGCTAACTGAGGCCCATGGCATCCATGTAGCAAGTTGTATTTTGTTCTTGGCTCCCCGCATAAGCCTGCCTCGGCTCTGGCTATGTGGACATTTGTGGAGAGAATCAGTGAATAGGAAACCTCTTTCTCTATTTCTACCTCTCTCTCCCTTTCCAAGAAAAAAAAAAAAAATGAAATCAACACACACAAATGTACATGTGCATACCAGATCTGAACATAAAATGCATTAATTAATAAAACCTGAAGTCTTAGGTTATAGATATGTGCTATCCAAGAAAGTAGCCATTAGCCACATGTGGCTATTTCTTCAAACTTTAACAGAATTTAAAACTCAATGCTTCAGTCTCACTAATCCCATTTAAACCACAAAAGACCCAAAAGTGGCTTCTGGCTACTGTTTTGGACAATGAAGCTATATTCTGTTATTAGAGAATGTTTTAATGGACAGAACATTAATTTCTAATGTGCTCTAGACAATATTCTCCTCGAAGTCAGTTAATATGTTTGCCTTCTTTTAAAAGCTACATCTGCATTCCAAATAGCAATGCAAAGTGGCACATCGATTCATAGTCAAAAAGAATGCTTGGCTCAGTTCAAATTATTTATCCTCTTTTTTGTTGTTGGTCTAGGTATACACTGCAAATAGTTCCCAACTTGTTACAAAGCAATGAAAATTCACTATTAGAACTTCCAATTTTTGCTACACAACAACAATTAAAGTTCAACTGAGGATGGGACCAGCGATGTGGCACAGCGAGTTAAATCCCCAGCCTGCAGCACCAGTATCCAACAGGGGTGCCAGTTCACGTCCCAGTTGCTCCACTTCTGGTCCAGCTCCATGCTAGGTCCAGCTCCTTGCTAATGCACCTGAGAAAGCAGCAGAGGATAGCTCAAGTCCTTGGGCCCCTGCACCCATGTGGGAGACCAGGAAGAAGCTCCTGGCTCCTGGCTTCGGATCAGCTCAGCTCCAGCCGTTGCAGCCATTTGGGAGTGATCCAGCCAATGGAAGGCCTCTCCTTCGCCCTCTGCCTCTACAAATCTGCCTTTCAAATAAATAAAACAAAATCTTTAATTTAAAAAAAAAGTATTCATAGGCCGGCGCCGCGGCTCACTGGGCTAATCCTCCGCCTAGCGGCGCTGGCACACCGGGTTCTAGTCCCGGTCGGGGCGCCGGATTCTGTCCCGGTTGCCCCTCTTCCAGGCCAGCTCTCTGCTGTGGCCAGGGAGTACAGTGGAGGATGGCCCAGGTGCTTGGGCCCTGCACCCCATGGGAGACCAGGAAAAGCACCTGGCTCCTGGCTCCTGCCATCGGATCAGCGCGGTGCGCCGGCCGCAGCGCGCCGGCCGCAGCGGCCATTGGAGGGTGAACCAACGGCAAAGGAAGACCTTTCTCTCTGTCTCTCTCTCTCACTGTCCACTCTGCCTGTCAAAAAAAAAAAGTATTCATATTCAAAAAAAGAAAAAGACTAATGGCAGAGACA